TTCCCCTCTGGTAACCACCAATCCAATCTCTGTCCCTATGTGTTTGTTTATTGTTGTTATTATCTACTACTTAATGAAGGAAATCATACGGTATTTGGCCTTCTCCCTCTGACTTATTTCACTTAGTTTCTCCTTTTTTAAAAAAACAAGTGCCAAATACAGAGAGGGCAAGGAGAAACCTAACTTGATCATTGAGCTTTTCCCACACATGTAGAAAATACTTAATTTTCTAGCTAACAGGTTCTTTCCTGTCACTGTGATGCTTAACCTTTATTTTATTGGACACTTACAATGAAATTCAATTGCTAGCTTCTTTAATACTCTTTTACTTATTCTTGGGCTTTATGCCCAGTATCAGTTATTTAAATTGATTAGCATCCTTATTTTATCATGGAAGATTCAACTGCTAAAAAACAACTCAGAACAGGGCTTGTATTCTGATACAAGATTCTAGGCAGTACTACGCATATGTATATATCATAATTACACAATGTTATAACACACTGAAAACATTTTTTTTTATGGCCTGTGGGCTGGCTGCCCATTTTTGTAAAGTTTTATTGGAATCGGGGCTGAGGTTATGGTTTGGCATACAAGCACAGGGTCAGATCTTGTTTTATTAAAAAGTCTGACATTTTGTTTGTCATTGATTTTTTGCATTAATCTTATTTGTGTGGTTTTTTTAAAAATATTTTTTATTGATATCTTAGTTTATAACGTTGTGAAATTTTAGTTGTACATTATTGTTTGTGAGTCACCATATAAATGCCTCCCTTCAGCCCTTGTGCCCAACCCCCAACCCCCTTGCCCCTGGTAACCACCAAACAGTTCTCTCTCTCCTTGTGTTGGTTTATATTCCACATGAGTGAAATTATGCGGTATGAAAACATTTTCTATTCACAGGTTTTCTTTCAATCGAAATATCACTTTGTGTTTTTTTTTAATTTAAAACCTAGGGATGCATCCTTGATGGCAATGAGAAGGCGTATTGAAGGCCTGACCCCAGAAGAAATCCGAAATCTTTCCAGAGAAGAAATGCACATGCCTACCACTATGGAGGATTTTGAAATGGCTTTAAAAAAGGTTTCTAAGTCAGTATCTGCTGCAGACATTGAAAGATACGAGAAATGGATATTTGAGTTTGGATCATGCTAAATTCTCACATGTAAGCTGTGAGAAACCTGCCTTAAGCATCTGAACAATAATTAAATGTAGTACTTCATTGCACCAAGTATCCTTTTTTAAACTTTCATAATGGTAAGATTAAAAAACACCCTTGATTCTGAATAAAAGACAGTTTTTCAAAGCTGCAGACAGATTTGTCTTTCGAAGCTGCAGACAGATTTGTCTTTCGAATTACCTGATTTCTTTCACTGACCACAAATGTTGCAGCACAACTGCTGTTACTTGGCTTCGAAAACTGTCTTGATGTGCACTTCTAAGTAGTACAGCATCTTCTCCTCCACTGTCTGCGGCTCCTCTTCCTTCTAGGGAATAAGACTGGCTCTAGCTCCTTGGGTGCCAGTGAATAACTGGAAATTCTGGAACATTGTTACACAAGTAGCCAGTTGAAGCATGAACCAGGCATGCTTGGTGTTACGGTAGCTTCTGTCCTCTTCCTGGGAGAGCTTTAAAGATCCTTCATTTTACTGTGCATTTAAAAGGAGAAGTATATATATTTATATCCAACCTTGCCAGACTTTATTCTGCTGACATCAGAGGCTGCACTGTAGGCAAGTAGATACTTCTAAGCCTGTGCTGCTCACTGTACTCTAATGAAACTCATTAAGTCTGTCACTCACAGATACTTAGCATAATTAAAATAATAGTTAATGGTGTAAGTAAAAGTTAATAAATGAAATAAAAGTGAAAGGTATAAAATTTTAGGTAAGATTTCCATTTATGATTACATATAAAAAAATAACTTATTGTATCATCCCAACCATAGAACAGAGCCTCAAGGAGACTGCATGCCTTGCCATAGTCCCAGGTCTCAGTGGTGAGGAGAGAAGGCAGGACAGGGATCTGCTGCCTGCAAAGCCTACACCCTCCAACTGGCCATGTGGCCTCCTACACTGAGAGTAGACTCCTCAGTAGACTCTGCAGGCTTGTGCCTAGTGGATGAAATAAGACCCTGTCATCCTTCTGAGTTACAACTGGTGATTGCTAGCAACTTAGTGAGGAAAGACGTGGAGAAATAAAGTGTAACTAGCTGGGTGACTTTGATTGTAAACTGCAGAAGAATTATTCTTCTATAATACATTTACAGAGACAGTACACTTCATAGAGCTGTTACTCCTTATTAAAGGCAGCTAGGCAAAATGAACCATCACTCCTTCACTACTACCTGTCATCCTTCCCCCCCCACAAACACACGTATCTGTTTAGCCTAAATCTAAGGCGGTTTTAAAAACCAGTCATTACTTTCTTGGATAATGTGTTTAAAATGATGAGATACAATCAAAAAATTTTTTTAATCAAACAATAGAAAACATCTATCACATGGAGTAAAGATAAGTATTATATGTACTAGGGCACACTGCAAAATTTATGTCAATATGGGTGATGGTTAAAAAAAGGAAGACCAAATGCTGTTGTATGGTAACCAGCACCACACTTAGAACCACAGAGCGAAGGCACGTTCTGCTTCCGTGACACTGATGGACTCAGGCAGTGTGTGTGACAGGAGCTATTCTACCCAAGTAATTCTCACGTGGGCACTTTTTATACCAAAAAGACTGTACTTTTTTCCTCAAAAAAGTTTATTTTAGAGTGAGAACATGTCACTACTATTTTTAAATCCTGGTGCATTCAAGGTAAGTAGTCTTGGTACAGGATACAGCCAAATCATGATACCCTTCAGTGACTTTATACTGAGTCGCATACTTAATATAAAGGCACATTTTACTGAATAAAAAAATAAGTGTTAAGTTCTTGAGCTTTTAAATTAGAATTTCATAAAGTGCTTTTCTTAAAGTCTTATATATTATAGTAATTAAGTGGATATAATTTCCTTAACAAAGGCACCTTGAAAAGTATTGGCACATGGCGTTTTGTCTTGCCTTTTTTTTTTTTCTTTTTGGTAATTTCAAAGTTTCTTCACTTGTCTTCTCTTCTACTTCATTTAAATTTTCCTTAACAATTCATCATCTGAATAGCCAGCCCTGTTATATAATAAGGTGAACTTTAACTTGTCGCTTTAAGGGTCAAGTTTTAGGAGTTCAGCAATTTCTCTAGTGTATAAAGTGATTCTTAATGATTTAAAGAAAATTATATTCAAGTGGCAAATTTAGAGCCAATAGACTAATTCAGAGTCCATGATTTGAGATGGTGTTTTAAACACATGTTTTATCTCCAAGGTTTTCTGCTGTTTTCTCCGGACCATCTGGATGTAAGTTGATAGCTGTCACAGATATAACATTCACTTTATCCAACTGAAGAATTCCTCTGAAATACAAAAATTAAAATTAAATATTTCCTCTGTCTATAGTTTGGTAGTAAGATAGGGCTACTTCAAGGTTATAAGTAAATATACCTGGGGTTAGGTGCTTTTGCTTCATTTTATTTAGTTTATAATTGTTATACAAACTCTCTGAGTCCAAAGTTCACTTTAACCAAACTAACAGAGAGAATAAAAAGGTGTAAGAAGGGGCCGGCCCCGTGGCTTAGCGGTTAAGTGCGTGCTCTCCACTGCTGGCGGCCCGGGTTCGGATCCCAGGCGTGCACTGACGCACCGCTTCTCCGGCCATGCTGAGGCCGCGTCCCACATACAGCGGCTAGAAGGATGTGCAGCTATGACATACAACTATCTACTGGGGCTTTGGGGGAAAAATAAAAAAATTAAAAAAAAAAAAAAAAAGTGTAAGAGGAAGTTCCTCATTTGGTACTGTAGGGAAGGAGAGGACTGGGCAGACAGAGCCCTAGATTTGCACAAGTTGGGCAAAAAGACTGGGCCGCAGCAGCTTTCTAAAGTGCTCCCCCTGGAATGCAACCTGACATCTTTAGACAGCATCTCTCCTTTGTTACTCAAGTACCTGACCAGGGAGGAGATCTTTGGATTGGATCCAAGACCTAGTATTGCAAATTCAACGTCATCCCAATCAAAACGTCAACAGAGGTTAGCTGTTGATAGAACTGAACAAGCTGATCCTCAAGTTCACAAGGGAGAAACTGCAAGAACAGCTGTGACCTTTTTTTTTAAAAAAGAACAATGGAAAGAAGAGACAGTTGCCCTAACCAGCTATCAAAGGTTTTATTAAAAGATTATAGTTAAAACCATGCTACTGGCACAAGAATGAACAAACAGATCAATCGAAGAAGCGAGTCCAGAAACAAAACTAATGTATACGGGGATTTAGTTCAGAACAGGGTAACATTCCAAGTCAATGGGCAAATTACTAATCGAAAAAGGGCCTCTGTTTGGAAAACAAAATCAGAACTCTAAGTCAAACTATACACAAAAGTGATGGTAAAAAATAAGTTTTAAGAAAACATGTGATTTTAAGATGGGAAAGATCTACTTAAGAAAAATTAGTAACCCGAGAAGCCATAGAGGAAAAGCAGGAATTACTCTGACCCCAAGTTTGAAACTTCTGTATGATATGGAATACCATAAAGAAGAGCAAAAGACAAATCGTAGTCTGAGATTAAAAAAATATGTCTGCAATACATATTACATATCGATAACAAAGGAGCTCCCACATATTGACGATTACAAAAGGCAATACAACTGATAAATGGGCAAAGGCTATAAATAGGCATGTCACAGGAGAAATATATACAGCCAATTGTCACAAAGATGCTAGACAGCTAGACCTAGGCTAGCAAAGATGCTAGTAAGAAAATGCAAATTAGAGTGAGATTACATTCCTGTCCACAGTAGCAAAAACAAAAAGGATTGCTATCAGGTTGTTGAGGAGATGTTAAATATATGTACCCTTTGACCCAGTAATTTCACTTTTAGGAATCTATTCTGCATAAATACACATGTGCAAAAAGATACATGTACATTTAAGAACGTCCACCAGAGCATTATTGGAAATAACATGAAATTGGAAATTACCTAAATGTCTAATGGAGGAATGGCTATATTATGGCATCTCCATGCTGTGGAACGCTATGCAGCCATAAAGAGAGTAAGTCAGCCTATATGTGTACTGATAGGAGAAGATCTTAAGCCCCTGGTTCCTAAACTGCACTGAGACTCTGGAGTGGCACAGCCGACTCACAGAGGACCACAGACTATTGTCCGTGCAATACCAGCTAGAGGGCAGTTCACGGCTTCAACATTAGACTGCTCTCCACGTTCCTTCCAATGAAGTCGTATCTTTGCAAAGCTGGATTTTTGGCAGTTACTGTGATAAAAAGCAAATGCTGTACAAAAACTAATACTGAACAGGAAATGAAGGTGGAGGTGTCGATCTGACTCCAAGATAAGATGTAGTGCCCTGTACCCACGCACATCCCATTAGTAAGTTAAGAACTAAATAAAATTATTTTTTCTTTCCTTTTTTTCTTCTGGCCTAGGTAAGGGCACCAGGAAGAATTACTGGCACACTAAGGGTGCTATGAACCAAGAAAGGTTGGGAACCTTTGTCAAAAGTGAATAAATCTGAGGGACAGTTAAGAGCCTAGGCTGATGATTACAATGACCTAGTCTACATTTATATCAATACCAGAATCTAGATAAAAGATGCACACCCAAACAGTTAACAGTGATTACCTCTAGAACAAGAATTGAACAGGGGAGTGAAGAGAGACCTTAACTTCACAGCTCTCTACACTGCTGTACTGACGAAATCGGTCCACAAAGTATCCTCACTGATAAAGTGTACTGCAAGTTTGGTGTTTAATTTTACATTGCATCTTTTCTCACAGAGGAACCCATGGCAAATAAAATTCACAACACTGTTTTCTATGCAGCTTTGCATAATAAAGTTCAAAAAAAGTTCTGAGCTTCCTGGCAGACAAAGGAAAAAGGAAGAAACTTAAGTTCCAGAATTGTCACTATTGGAAAGAGATGGGAAATGCGACTTCTGCGGAAGAAACCCAGACTCAGTGGGAGGGGCACTAGGACCTCTCAGCTCTGCAGGAGCTCTCCTTGCGCGTGGCTTTGCCCTTTGGCAGCCCTTGCAGGGAGGCACAAGCTCACTGTCACGATGAGGAGGGGAGTTCTGCAGGCCTCCGGACAAGCAGGCAGAAGAGCGAATGTCTCCACTGGGCCTGTTCCTGTGAACCCTGCGGTCTTTCCAGCACAGCACGACGTTCCGGCTAAGCCAGAAATCGTGGTCCCCTCCCTTCTGCTGATGCTTA